GAATATTACAAAAAAGACGTATTCGACACGCCGAAAGATACATCAACAACGAAGAGAAACGAAAATACTTCAGTCATCTTATCGTTAGCATACCAATTTTCTATTGCAAAAGGCAAGATTCATACAAATTTTGCGTCAAAGACCTAAAGAACCTAACTTAGCTATAGTACCATTACATTTAATGAGGAATTTCACCGAAAAGCAAGATCACTGCAAGCGAAATCTGCGATACTTAATCGTATAATTCATGTCCTGTTTAAAAAGTACACTAAAATGACAACAAAACACAAATTTAGCTCTGCAAAAAGCCAGGCTTCGGAGGGGCGCTCAGTTCTACCTTCTGCATATGCAAATACATCAACTTCACGCAAATTATTCACAAATAATGAATGCAAATAATTACATCATTAAAATTAATTAGTCTCTAGTGAAAGAAACGAGAAATTGGAACGTGAACTGAACGATTGGATAGTTCGTAGTGGCATGAATCACTTCGGAATCATTGCGTTTAGTTTGTAGCGGTATAGTATTGTGGAAACGAGGGCAAACATAGCATAAACAAAACTGCTGCTTTGAAAAGCGGTTAAATTCATGCGAATATGCATAAAGCAAATGTCCTCAACTTTTTTGAAAGGCTGTGTTGTACGTTACTTGTGATTTTAGTAATCAGAAAAAACACCATTTCAGTAGTAATATTTGTATCAGCGAGAATATAACATAGATTGAGTTTGGGCATCAGGTTTCCATCAAACATTCATCGAAAGAACGACCGATTATGCTATGTTCAAGCGACCCGTATCCGCAATTCATCTAATTGTAAGCAACATTCAGTTTTTGTATTATGCTTGCATCTCCATTTGAGAATTGCAAAGTGACACATATAAAAGGCTCCTCATCTTGAGAAAAAGCCTCATTTGTGGATCACGAATCACCGTGGAAGTGGACGATCGTAATGACGAGTAGCCTCTAGAACAGTGGTTTTCTTCCTCGAAGCTTCATTGCACTCTTCGATGATCTGGCAGATCGAATGAAATTTATCCGTTCATTTCATTCTATCGCATTTCTTTGCTGAAGCCCTCGCCCTCTCCCTCCCTCTTTCCTTCAACCTAACACCTTACGTATTTCTTTGAATATAATTTAAGGTTTAGCCAAAGACCGTTAACCAAAACTTTGAAATGAATGAGCGTTGATAATTCATCGATACTTAAACAGTGCAATGTGATTGGTCGCAAGCAGTTAATACTGGAAAATGAAATGCAAAAAGATTTTTCACGGCTAATTTGAATGACCATGTTGTATGTGAAAAATGAACTGAATTCATCATGTTGAAATCGCGGAAGAGTGTAATCCAACAATAATCCAACAACAATCCCTTCATCATGTCTCTCTCACATAACACAGCACAACATATCAACGATACAATAAACACAACTGAATAACACATCCGACGTAACGTTCACAAGTTGCATTCGACAATCTTCAGCATTCATTATGCAAAATCAAGCACCTCCACATACACATCATGCTCATTTCATAACACCTTTTGTGATGTCTGCCACATAGAAGAAGCATTTACCGGCATCGATTTTGTAACACTGCAATGAATGATCATCATCCATCATATCTCTCTTTATCTGTACTGAGTCAGCAGTGCATCAAGTAATAATCTATTCCAAAAAAAACTATCAGTATGCCCACCAGCGATAGGATGTTTATCGAATAAATTGAACGATCATCAAAGATACAAGTAGTAAAGCACACAGAGATATGTTATTCTTATTATTAATATTACTGTCACTAGAATTATGATTAACACCATTATCAGTATCGTTATCATTATCAGCACATGCCTGAAAAATATGTTTCAGATTGATCGGGAAAGCAAAGAAAATTGATCAGTCAGTCACAAATAAAACTAATTATCAAGATATTATTATCGTTATTGCTGTCAGCGTTGTTATTTTTATTGTTATTGCAATATTACTATCCAACAATTCATCAATATCTGATAATTTCACGGTGAAGTAGAAAGATTGATGGCAAATGAAAGCTGATAAAAGTGTTGCATTTCGCTGACTGTCATCACAGTTTATTCATGCGAAACGTTCAGAAATAAGAGCATTCTATTCAAAAATTTATGCACTTATTTGGCGTTGTTCATAGAAAGTCGAAGAATGATATGGTGATGGTTGTATGGCCAACAAGGCCGCACGCCTGAAACTTTGACTTCTTACAATTATTATACATACTGGTGATGACAACCGGACGAAAAATTTTCTTCGTCACAATGCGACGGAAATGGGTTTTGTGATTCCTAACTTTTTTGTGCTAACAAAAAAACCAGAAACTGTCAGAGCCGAAATTCGATCGGCAAATCTCGGGCGAAGAACGGTTGGTTAAGATCGTCGCTAAATTCTACCGCATTTAATCTATCATTCTTATGCTCAGCATTTTGTCTTAACAACACCTAAGGCAGTGAATCGCGCATAACGCAAAACCGAATCAGTTGTGGCAAGCGATTCTCTATGGGGAAAACCGAAATGAGATGAAGTTTCACTATGGCGCTAGAGATCCGTTAAAATATCTCAACGGGTCTCTAGCGTCATATTGCAGATAGCTTACAAATGTAATTTGATGAATGGAATTGAATACGACGAATGAATTCGAGCTGAATGTAATTAAGTGAATCTGTGAAGAATTTCAAGCACTCAAATATTCATTTAGTTCACCAACCTTCTCCAGCTGATCAACATTCATATACACATCAGCACTCTTCAGTTGCCAAAGTTTCTGCACCTCACACCTCGTTGAACATCCGGGAATGGTTAACGGGTACACGATAGCGTTGGTCGTGTCGTTCTTGTAGAAAAACTTCAAAATACTTCATTCTTATTGTGCCATTCAAAAAGTTAATTGATCGCAGAAAAATATCTCCGAAATACTCAGATCATACATTATGTGAGGTGCAAACAAGAAATAGTTTCGCATGCGTACAAGTCACTGAGAATGGGATGCATCATTCATATACAACAAATGAATCTTTGGATGCGTTTCATTTCGAATCGAACGTCGATTCTATGAATGAAAATCATATTTAAAACGTCAACTTATGATAGCATACCTCTACTTCAAATTTACCAGCCCATGTTTTATAAACTTCCATAATAAGACAACCAGCGTATGGAACCAAAAGATCGTTATTGATTCCCAATGCATGGAGAAGCGGTTGGATTGTTACGTCGTGCTGAATTATTCCTTATCGTCACTTCAAACCACGTTTCAATATTCGATGCTTTTGTTGGTTGAGAATTGATGAATCAATGAAAATGAAGTAAGTAAAATCGTCTTTCGAATGAAACAAAAAGAAATCGTTCACTATCTATTCAGATTTCATAAACTGAAAATGTTACGTTACATTGAATACATCACATCATATTAATGATAGATACCGATGAGTAGAGCATCATTTTACTTGGAGAAAGCCGAACTCCTTTCGAAACGTTTAGTGCTCTTTGTAGAAAATGACCAGCCAGTAAGCCGCCACGAAGCATTGCTTTCGTCGGTGAATTGAATTGATTCAAACGTGAACGTAATTTTATTTTCTGCACTATTTCATATGTTGTGTCATAGTTGTGATTGGGCCATTTCTTATAGAGCCAATCCGGTTGAGTCATATTATGCAACAGCTAAAAGCAACACAACGACACAGAGATAATCACTTATTTATGCGTTATTCACCTACCTTCAATTTATTCCTCATCAAATCTGACGATGCTACACTGTTTTCGTTGCATATGAACGTATTATGATAATCAGAAATAAACTGCATCTGATTGAGACATTATGGTTGGTTGTCGCATTCTAACGAGAATACGAAACGATGTTGACTCATTAATAGCAGAATTAACTCACCTCAAGTTTGACGTTGTGAATTCTTAGAACCTCCGCGAGGCCAACTTTTCTGAAACCGCTAACTTCTTTCAAGTAGCGGAAAACGTCACCATATTCATTTTGAAGCTGTTGATCTAACAAGTCGAAATGCGATTCAAAAATTTTGTAGTATTTTGGACAGTCATATTTATTTGGACGGATCAACTGAAAGATGAAATTGAATTGTCGATAAGACGAAGTCGACGAGTAAATTCGGATTGTTGAGTGCTTGAATAGAATGATTATGGAATATCAATGCAGCAATTACAAAGAATTTTGTTGAGTATTTTCCGTGAGTGAAAAGACTCTCGCAAACATTCAATGGCAGTCAAATGGATCAAATTGGTGAGTGAAAAGACGCATTATGATCTGAACTGACTGGATCTGGTTCCCCAGGCGTTGTGGAATGGAACGGTACCGGTTGCCACATCTCACCTTCGAGCCATTCGGTTCGTTTGTCACCGGGAATAAACCTCTCAACATTGCCTGTGCACTTTCAGTGGCACGATCCACTGAAGTCGCCATCACCTCCAGCTTCAGTAGTCTATTCTTTGGATGGAATTGAATCAACAAATGCTAATCATGGAGGTACGAGTACGAAAATCGACTTTGTTACATCAACAATGCATTAATTTCCTTACTAATTCATTCGCTAATTTTTTTGGTTTCTACGAAGTAATACGGTGATATTCTCAGCAATAATCGCTCATTCTGGTTATCTTTTATTATCTGCATCGTTCAATAGGATTGATGTTGTCAACGAATGCATTCTGTTGTCTTATCGTTTGAAGCAACTGGTAATGTACAATAATGACTATTGATATTGATTCATTTTACGCCTCAAAACCGAACTGAACTACGAACCTCAGACACATTATATCGAGAGCCGATGTAATTGCCATATCGCTGTCTAAAGAAATGACCCAATCGGTACAGTTGCTTCATACCAGTCTGTAATTTTCATTCAATCAATCAAACACCAGATGCTTTGCTAACAGATGCTTTCAACATGAATAAAAATAACACTAGTTAGATGGCCCCATCCTCTTGGCCAATATTGCTCAGTATATTTATCGTTTGGATATGGATATTTGGTTGGCGCTCTATCCCCATGTCTCCAGATTGCTTGAACGTAGACCAACTCTCGCAAACATTCAACGGCAGTCAATTGAAACGCTGCAGTGAACAATAACAGAAACACTTGCAGCAGTGTGATGTGCATCTGTAATTCAGATGATTCAATATAGCGTTCATATAAGACTAAAGTTAAGATAAGCGGATGCCTAAACGCAAGAACAAATCTGTTGAAAGCGCATGCAATACAGCGCACCAAACATATATTCCGTTCATTAAAACACGATATATCCACACAAACTATCCTACAAGAAACGAAAAGCACAAAAGGATATTGCCAACAGATGTCTAATTTTCGCCATATCTGTCACATCATTATTAAGTTCATGTAAAATACCGGTTTTCTAACAACCGAAGCTTATAACAACATCAACTATATTCAGTGGTGACCGTGATAACTTCACAGAACAAGAGATACGTAAGCAATCTAAGTCGATCAATTCCTACGGAAAAGTAGCCAACTGTTCGGAAAAACGTTTACGGACAATTTTTTGGGCTAACTGCTGCAAAACTTGTATAATGCATCATCCATTTTTGCCTGACTCGGAGTTCTTGGAGCAACGGTATCTTCCCCGTGATCGCGCCTGTTTCAAGTGAACCCAAGCGGATGCTCAAGGATCAGCTCAGCAGCCAGCCATCGGAATCGTCACCCGTGCGGCTCATCAGGCCACATTACAATACGTGGTAACGCATACCATCAATCGGTTCATCAAACCATAATGGGACTAAATGGCGGATATATGCAAACACCACGATGGAGAGGACGCGCATTGGTGAAGTCTACAGTACAGTAGAGTATCATTTTCGCGTGTCTGAGATGGCAAGTGCACCAGAAGTGTACCAGCGATAAACAGTATCACGCAACTTTTAATTTCCCATAAGCATGGATGAATATGTATATGATACACACATTAATAGGCACATGATCGTCACATGAGTTGCGGTTACTTTCGAGCACATGTTTTGAGCATCGATATTTAGTAGGACCAATTGATTGGAGTAAATTAGGTTTGGTCTTATGTTCAGCTCAGGCTCGAGGTAAGGTCAAATCTCGTTAAGTTCCCAATTACGCTTAACGAGACTTAGCCTTAGAAGAGGCAACTTAATTCAAAATAAAAAGACGCGTAGATACATAATATATCTGTCACTTATATCGAATTCATTGTAAACAAATCATTTGAAAGAGAGTACCTGGTGTAACAGTAAAATTATTTTTCAACAAAAAGAATCAGTATTTGAAATCAACATTTCAAAATTGTCAGCGAAAAATACTAAGAGCACCGCTTTTTAGAACTATTAGAGATGATAATGAAAGTGTAAAAGAAGATTTATGCGATTCACTCAATTCAAAATCATTTCATCAAAGTATTAACTCTATGCCAAATTAATCTGTGCATGTAATTTGAATGTTCACAAATCAAAATTTATCATAAAGATTATTCAAATAAGGGTAATTTCATGAATAAAGAGGCTTGTCTAAATTCAAAATCATATTCAAATGCATAACATTGTTTATTCTACATGAGAAAATATCATACTCATTAGAAAAACATTTCAGAGTGCACTATTCCGAAGGCGGACAGAGAAAATTCAGTCAAACGCACGATTGGAAGAATTGTTTTGACTTCTATCCAGTATGTTACGAGGACGGAAAAAAATCAAGGACGTGAACGTCGGGGACGAAATTTCGCAGTCGAGGACCTCGAAATGGCAGTCGGCTCGAAAAATGTCGGAGACGGGGAATCGGGGATGGGGTCCCTAAAATTCTCCGATCCCTACAACACACTGCTTGTATCTTCTTCGATGTTTTTTCCTGCGTGAGCTTCTTCTATTTCTCTCTGTGCTGCTTCTTAATACAGTTATATAAACTCTTCATTTGAATAATTAGATGATTTATTCAATTCCTTTGCCATTTTAGATACACAACAATTTGGTATGGAATCAACTAAAGAAATTCAGTTTTTATCAATTATCAGCACATAACACTCCATTTATTCGTGTTCAATTGATAATTAACAGAAAATTTACCGATTAATCAACCGGCAAAAAGAGTGATAAAATTTTTGCACTCAACGAGGAATAAATTCACAAATCTGTGAATATTAAACAAAAACACCAAAGAACATGTTTGAAACAGGCGATTTTGACATCTTCTATAAGAATTTTCGATTTTTAATTATAACATCGTTAGGTTTGCAAAATGACAAACGAGGAATAAATTCACAAATTTGTGAGTATTAAAGAAAACACCAAAGAAAATGTTTGAAACAGGCGATTTTGACATTTTCTTAAAGAATTTTCAATTTTTATTTATAACATCGTTCGGTTTGTAAAATGACATTCAGGCACAGAAACCATCTCATAAATTTCATCTGTTTGTCCCTTTTGAAGCAGTTGAAAAGGTTCATTATAGAAAAATAAGATATTCATCTGTTTGTCCCTTTTGAAGCAGTTGAAAAGGTTCATTATAGAAAAATGAACATGTTTGAAACAGGCGATTTTGACATCTTCTTTAAGAATTTTCGATTTTTAATTATAACATCGTTCGGTTTGTAAAATGACATTCAGACACGGCACCATCTCATACATTTCATCTGTTTGTCCCTTTTGAAGCAGTTGAAAAGGTTCATTATAGAAAAATAAGATATTTTCACTGGACAGTGTATTCGTTGAAGAAATCAGATCAGATGTAAGATGACAATTAAGCAGATTCAATTTAGCTGTGATGATCGTGGATGTGAGCGTTTGGAGCGTTTTCCAGATCGACTACTTCTCTGATGGCTTCACTGAAGCTGCTGATTAGCTCGTTCCGTGTCGTACATATGTGCTCTTCTCATGATCGAACCACTGCGCTCACTCTTACCACTACCATTCAAAAATGACCCACTTCGAATACTCTTTTGTGGGTTCGATTCATCCATTTTCACACTATAAGTTCATTGAACATCGATCTGTCACGAAAACAGTGCACGCATAAACGAATCAATACACGGATAAGCACTCGAATATTTTGAGTTCGATTTGAATATTTGTCTCGAAAGATGGAAAATGCTTGAAATAAAACATCAATTAAAACTCATTCAACAGTAAACTAATACTGTCGAGTGCAATCCTGGTTATGATTCGTCTTCTATCTAATTATACATTCAACTCATTTGATATCAGTATCAATATAAAGGATTCCGTGCACTAATATCCGTTAGCTGCACTAAGATTCCGTTCGCTGTGCTAACGCCGAAGTATGCCAAGGAAAGGAGAACGTGCTGCTATTGGTGATAACAGAGGAGTAAAAACTCGTATTGAGCTGTAATTGTTGATTAAATGAACGAATTACTGAATAAAATCGGCATTAGAGCAGATATTACTTCAATCAACAGAACAAATCATTATTATTATCATCATTATTCACTCGTGGCACATTTACTCATTAATTGAAGAAGTAAATGACGAAATGTTACAAAGTAAAATCGTTCAGTGACATACGCTGAATACGTTGCTAATTGGGCGTTATTTGAAGGCGCATTCATATTCGTTTTATTAGCAGGATTATTTGCCTAAAAGAAACATCGCATTTCACATTTTGAATCGTTTCTTCGGATCAGCATCTTTTGATAACTGATTACAATCAAACACCTGCCCACCATGCAAGAAGAAATTCAATTATAAAAATGACTATAAAACGCAAGTTATCTAAGACAGCCTTGACGCATTTTCTGGTGACGATCTGCACGCCATAATTATCAGTTCCCCCTATATCACCAGATACTTTCAAATCAGTTGTCAAGAAAAACTGATCAAAAACAAATCTCATTCTTCAATCATGAACAAACTCGATTATAAACATGAACAAAGGCTCATCCATCAGAACAACTGTATGGCAGTTAGCACAAGTAGGCACGGTGGTGATTGGTATGAAGATAACGTATTGCTATGATAATTGCCAACATACTTCGTTCAATGCCACATCAGTTTCTTGATTTAGCAATTCATCGATGTCATCTTATGATCGATTGTTTCATCACCATCAAAGTTGTTAGTAACATTCATTTTGAAATACACTATCTATTACAGTGGTTCTCATAGGGGGTGAAATTACCCATTTTGGATAATTTGGAGGTGTCAAGGGGTAATAGAGGGGGTTGTGAAACTACTATTTGTTACACTTGTTATTTTATGATGGAACGCCATTGTGATGGTGTTTTTCAACTCGGATATGTAAATGCGGTCAGCTGATGGCAACTCTCTTCATTTTCACAGGGTTTTCATTCTCTTCCTTGCTGTTACAATCGCTCTCATAGCTTTTATCATCAAAAGTGTTCTCTTCTACTGATTTCTCATTCATTTCACTCAACGATTAAAGTCAAATTCTCATTCTATCAAATACACTCTATAATTGATCAGTTGACTGTCGAATAACTGATGTATTGTTGATTTCGGCTGTCAACACTCGTCAACGTATCCAGTAAATAGTATATGCAACAGAATAAGAATTTGATTCGAACGGTGAAATAAAATGAGACGAAGTGAATGAGAAAAACACATCAAGAGAACGGTATTTGCATGAAATAGCTATGAGAGTCAATAAAACACGTCTAAAAAGAATGAGAATCCATCTGAATCAGTTTGAGGTGAGCGTGTTATAGACAACACCTTTTCATGCAATCATAATCGATTGCAGTAATGAGCAACACAACGGTCTAGGACACTAATTTCTTTCACTCCGCTGAGAAACCTGCGGACGGATTTTCTGTTTGATTCTGATGTTTTACGTTGAAACAGGAGGTTCTTGTATCAAGAAAGAGGGGGTGGGGAACGGCGGCCTGCCAGATCACCAAACGGGGTATTGGAGCACCCGAACATGAGAACTACTGATCCATTACCATGATTGCCAACAGAATCTCATTATCGTTGCGTTCATTTTCGTTGCGCTCATTCGAAAAGAATACCGTGAAAACAATTGATGACGCTATCAAGCATATACCACCGATAGCCATTAAAATTATTCGCTGAAGTTTATTTGATTACTTCAGATGTTTCTTTAATGTCTGTCTCTCGAGTCATTTTGTCATCGTTACTGTTAACGTCATAAATAATAATCAGATAAATTAATATCATGAATAATATAATCGAATGAAAATGGCTTTCAAATTATAACATTTTCAATTTTGCAGATCAAATCCAATTAGATCATGTAGCAACTGATTGCCTCCGACAATACAGTATCATCATCATTCAGTCAGAATAGTCATGTTAACAGTTATCTATGTTTGTTTGAAGAGTAAGATCTTCCTTGGATGTTTACTTCTTGGTGGAATGCAATAACCCATGAGAGAATAATCAGTTCACACTATAATTTATACATCAAATTGCCTCTAAATCATTTCATACTCACATTCAATGGTATCATTTGCTCGTTGATTCGCTCAATCACTTGCGTGATCGCTCCGATCGTAACAAGAGTCGCTCCAATAACCAGAACCGGCAATCCGGACGCCAACATTTTTTGGTGATACCACTGAGGCTGGTTCAAAATAAATGTTGCCGGAGCAAAAGCAGTCAGCTGAATTCACTTTCAATTGAATCGAGTCACATACATTCGCAATTCTACTCAAAATTGTACCATTATAATAAGATGAATCATAATGTTCAAATTTAACCACTACAATCTAATATAATTGATACTTAACGAAGTTCAGTCAGCACCTTGCAGAGGTAAGCATATACAGCCTTTGAGGTGACAACATAAAATAATGAATTATCTCTCAGCGATATCGTTCATATGAAAATGAACAATCAAAAGAAGGTGATTAACTCAGTACCGAACTCGCAATGCAGAAACCGTTTCTGATCTTCCATTTCTCCAGTGAACCACTCATTTTCCCGATAAAAAATGAAATGAAACTGATTACGAGGGAGCGTTTATCTGTCGAAGGAATTGACAATTCAAAGAACTGCCCACTAACAATAAGACCATAATGTTGCTTCTAAATTAGTTATTCAAAATTGCAAAAACGATCACAAATTCGAAAATCACAAGTATACAAAATAATGAAATCGTCGATTCAACGAGACTACATCAGAACATATTAGCTGATCACATTGATGCTAGCAAATGCAAATTCAATTGGCATGTTTATCGATAATGAAAAATAAAACAATTGTAAATCTGACTGATCGTGAGACATTTCAAGTAATATATCGCAAAGTGTTGAACATTGAATCGTTAGTAAGACCTCTCTTGTTAGCATTCAGCGATAATGTCTTTATCGGTACAGTCGTAGGAGACTTACTGATTCCAGCAATAGCGACAAAAGTTGAACAACGACCTACGTCGAACACAGCCGTATAAACCATGGATCTTCATAGGGAAAGAATTTACCCTTCAAAAAAGCAAAATCTCTCGACAACATAAAAAACGCTGAGAACCTGCTAAATCTGATGGTATCAAGAAACTATGGTTTTGCTGGGCAAACTTGAGGATATACGTAGTATGAAAATGGTACTGGATGCAGTCACTGTTGGAATCACTGTTGAATGTTTTATAAATATTACTGCGTTTGATGATTAACAATAAGTGACATACCTTCAAAAAATTAAGTTTGTATGTATAAATACACATTTTAAACAATATGCTTGAAATCATGATATAGCTGAATCAAGAATTAGATTAATTAAGCAAATCGAAATAAGCAATCAAATAATAACACACCAAAGATGCAAGTATCCATTAAATTTCTTCGAAAATGATTAATTCTGCAAAAAGAAAGTACTCTGGAACACTGCGCAGTGCGAACGAGATGCATTCATATGTATCTAACTTACTGAGCACAATCTGCTAACGTGCTGTATGCATTCAGTTCACTGCGATGCATATTAATGCAAGATGAACTGCATTCAATGCATAGAGATGCATTCAATTCATTTTGCATTAATATGCATCTCATTGAACTGAATGCATACAGTACAATGTTGGCAGATTGTACTAAGTAAGTGAGATGCCTATGCATCTCATTTCCACTGCGTAATGGATTAAGATTGTGCAGTGTAAGTCAGAAGGATACTGATACAAGCTGAAGTAAATCCATCGTGGACAAAATTTTACTATGTTTTGCATTTCTATAGAAATATAGTTCTGATACATTCAAGCCTACCATCTTCTCAAGGTTGCCCTGAAACATATTGATGTTTGTAAATCATTCGATTGAGCAGAATCTGTGCTTTCAGAAAATGAAAAAAACCGTCGAGATATTCTGCTTCGGAGAGGAGATATAGCTATTTTTATGATGCTACAGGGGTTGGCACATCCAAACCTACCGTACTCTCAGCTTTGACCAGTAACAT